AGTGTTTGGTTGCCGAGCTTTTGTTCACATTCCAAAAGATGAGAGGTCCAAGCTTGATAGTAAGTCAAGACAATGTATTTTTCTTGGCTATGGGCGTGATGAGTTTGGGTATAGATTGTGAGATCCGGTCGACAAGAAAGTTATTCGAAGCCATGATGTTGTGTTTCTTGAGGACCAAACAATTGAAGACTTTGGCAAAGGTGATCAATCGGAGCCAAAAACTAGTGATCTCATTGACATGGATCCATCTCCTTCATCTTCGGTGGATGATGAAAATGGTGGAGATGTGCAGCCACCTATTGAAGATGTAGAGGATGATGCTATTCAAAATGAAGTTGAGCCTGAAATTGAGGAAGAGCATCCAACTCAAGAACCACCACCACAACTTGAGTTGAGGAAATCTACAAGGGACCGACAACCTTCAAGAAAGTATCCTCCCAATTAATTTGTGTTGATTTCTGATCAAGGGGAGCCGGAGAGCTATCAAGAAGCAATTGAGCATGCAAAGAAAGGTGATTGGAAAAAGGCCATGGAAGAGGAGATGAACTCCTTACTTGAAAACCACACTTATGATTTAGTGAAGTTGCCTAAAGGGAGGAAAATTCTGAAAAATAAGTGGGTCTTCAAATTGAAGAATGATGGCAAGAATCTGAGGTACAAGGCACGTCTTGTTGTGAAAGGCTTTGGGCAAAAGAAAGGGTATTGACTTTGATGAGATTTTCTCGCGTTGTAAAGATGTCTTTTATTCAGATTGTACTTGACATGGTTGCAAGTATGAATTTTGAAGTTGAGCAACTTGATGTGAAGACCGCATTTCTTCATGGTGACCTTGAAGAAGAAATTTACATGGAGCAACCGGAAGGTTTTGTGGAGAAAGAAAAAGAGAAATTTGTTTGCAAATTGAAGAAAAGTTTGTATGGTCTCAAGCAAGCCCCACGGTAATGGTACAAAAAATTTGACTCTTTCATGATGAATAATGGTTTTTCTAAAACCACTTCAGACCATTGTGTGTTTGTGAAAAATTTTCCGGATGGTAAATTTATTATTCTTTTGCTTTATGTTGATGACATGTTAATTGTGGGTCAAGATTCTACCATGATTAACAGGTTGAAATTGGAGTTGACCAAGTCTTTTGCTATGAAAGATTTGGGACCGGCAAAGCAAATACTTGGTATGAAAATTGTTCGTGATCGCAAAAAGGGGTTGATTTGGTTGTCTCAAGAGAGCTACATTGAGAAAGTTCTTCAGAGGTTCAACATGAATAAAGCAAAGCCGATTGGTTGTCCACTTGCAGGTCACTTCAAGCTTAGTTTAAATCAATGTCCTACAAGCGAAAAAGACAAAGAAGAGATGTTGAAAGTTTCTTATGCTTCAGTAGTTGGTTCTTTGATGTACGCCATGGTTTGTACAAGGCTGGATATTGCTCACGCCATTGGTGTGGTGAGTCGTTTTCTCTCTAATCCGGGTAAAGAACATTGGGCAGCGGTAAAATGGATTCTAAGGTATCTTCGAGGGACTTCGAAGGTATGTTTGTGTTTTGGGGATGGTAAGCCGATGCTTGATGGGTTCACAGATTCTGACATGGCTGGTGATGTTGATTCTCGGAAATCTACTTCGGGGTATTTGATGACTTTTGCAGGGGGAGCTGTGGCATGGCAGTCTAAATTACAAAAATGTGTTGCTCTCTCAACTACCGAAGCTGAATTTATTGCCATTACAGAAGCTTGCAAAGAAGAGTTATGGTTGAAGAAATTTTTGCAAGAGTTGGGTTTGAAGAAATTTTTGCAAGAGTTGGGTTTGAAGCAAGAAAAGTATGTGCTTTATTGTGATAGTCAAAGTGCTATTCACTTGAGTAAAAATTTTACTTTTCATTCGAGATCAAAACACATTGATGTGAGATACCATTAGATTCGTGATGTGTTAGATTCGAAATTATTACAACTCGAAAAGGTTCACATAGATGATAATATTTCAGATATGTTGACGAAGACTTTGTCGAGGGACAAACATTTGAAGTGTCGAACTTTGGCGGGTATGGTTGATATCTCCACCTAAGTCGGTAGGGGGAGAATTGTTGGGTATACCTCCTTATTGGAGTGTGGGACCCAATTGATTTATTAAAAGAGTTTTAATTTGACTTGGTTTAGTATAATATATTTTTATATATTATATTTGTGGAGGCCCAATTCAATTTGGATACAATTAGGGTTTGATTCCAAAACCTAAGATTTAATATATTTTTTTGGGTTGTTTTTCCCAAGCAAGGACGGCGGCTTTGTTTGTGGGTGAAAAACACTTTTTCGAAGTGCTGCGGCTAATACAGTGCATTTGAAATCAATCAATTCAGTGGGAGTGCTTTGGTGCATCTTCGGTTTTCGGTTCTGATTTGGGTTCGTTATTTTTAGGTCTTCTACAACTCTGGTTCTGAAGATTTTGGTTCATCTATTTGGTGAGGTCTTTCTTTTTTGTTTATTTGTGATTATTCGGAATTCACCTAAGGGTGATTTTGGGAGACCATTAGTGTCTCGTTTGTAATCGTTTGGAACTTATTTGGTTGATAGTGGAATCGGATTTCGATCCCGTGGACGTACCTCACATTGAGGGAACCACGTAAAAATTCTTGTGTTGCCTTTGATTTAATTTTTTCGCATTAGTTTTTATTCCCATTGATTGATTTACTTGTGGGGAATCACATATTTTCCCTAACAAAAGAAAGGTACCAAACTATATGAAGCAAGCTTGAAGGATGAGAAGCGTTTAGACCAATGGCTTCATTGTTAAATTAAGCAAGTGTTTTAGTAAATAAATTTAATTTTCCCATCATGTTTACACCTTCAAAATATTTTGTAAATGACATTTGATGTAGAATTTTTTGTACAGAGGATATCTTTTTTTGTATGATTTTGTGTTTGTATGGAATTATTATTTTGGGTTGGATAATTTAGATTTGTATATAATTTGATGTTAAAAGATCAAATTTTTGTATTGTAGAAATGAAATAGAAATAGATATATTTATTGTTTTGTTTAAATACAGGGTGCAGGTTGCACGAAATAAATACAGGTTGTGAAGAAATTAATTATAATAAAAAAAAAACACAAAATAAAGTTTTTTCCATTAAATGTTTAGTAGCGAAAAAAAAGAAGTGAATTTGTTAGTGACTAACCAATTGGTAGCCAAAAAGGAAATAAATATTTTTAGTGACTAAATATTTGGTAGCCATAAAGAACCCAAAGATTTTTGGTGACTAAAAATTTAGTAGCTAAAAATATAATGAAGACTTTCGGCTACCAAATGGTTAGTAGCCAAAAGTTCAATAGAATGAAAAATAATTTTTTTGGCGACTAAATTCTTTAGTCCCTAAATGTAGTAATGTTGTGACTAAAACTTATCTACGACAAAAATTTTTAGTCGCTGAAAATTTAATTAATTTTATTTGAACACTTTTGGCGACTAAATATTTAGTCGTCAAAATATCCCCTTTCCCGACTACTCAAAGTTTCGTAGCCAAATTCTTACTTTTGGCTACTAATATTTTAGTCGCCAAAACATAACCTTTGCCGACTAACAAAAATTTAGTAGCCAAACCGTTCACTTTTAGCGACCAAAAATAGTTTAGTCGCCAATACTATCGCTGACAGGGTATAGGCGACGAGTTTGGCGACAAAATATTTTAGTCGCTAAATGGTTTCGGCGACTAAATATTGGACTTTTGGCGACCAATATTTTGGTAGCCACAAGTAGCATTTCTTGTAGTGCATATAGATGTAGCTTTGTAAGTTTCATATCAGGAGAGATTTGGTAAAAAATTTAATAAATTATTTAAAGTTCATACATTTTTCTTGATGTTACAGTCGTTATCTAAGTTGCTGATAATAATGTTAATCTTATTCCTGTCTTGGGTTATCCTCAGTCTGAATATTTTTTGTCAAATTAGTTCATATTATATCAAATTAACGGCTTTGCCTTGAAATTAAGTAATGATCTTCAATTGTCTTTATTTCGAACAATATTTAAAATTTATAGTTAAATGTATCATAATTGAAAAGTCAAGGATCAAAGTGACACGATGTCACGCCCCAAAATTTGGATAATTAAATATTCAGTCAATATTCTATCATCCAAATCCTAAGGGTGAAACAAAATTTAAAAGTTCACGTCTCCAAATGGTTTAAGTAAATTTCCATCCTCAAAAGATTACAAGGGATAAAAAAAATAAAAAATAAAAAAAACTAACAAAACGCTAACTAAACCATCCATCATAATTTTATAACTAACTAATACCTCCAACATTAAAATAACAATAAATAGTTAAAATAACTTAAATAATATAAAGTTACAAACCATGCCAAATTATCAAAATTTCTAAGGTCATAAAAAAATAATTAATATATAAACTAATATCAATCCTAAGCTCAAGAAAACCAAAAGAAGTCCAAAAGACATGTCTTATGATCATCACCACCATAGTTCCAACTAATCCTGCAAAGGAAGCTTGGCTGCGCTCAGACAGAATGCACCCGAGTTGCAAAAAAATAAAACAGGTTAGTATACAAGTATACTGGTATGAGTACAAGATTTGACACTTACGTGTCCACCAGACACAAACAAAAATACATTTAATTATTGTTACGGGACAAGACAAGTAGTTCCATCCGCACTTCATATAACCATGAGTGTGATTATAATCATAAAATAAATCCTTATAAAACCATAAACATGACATAAACAATTAATCAAAATAATTAAAATTAATCCATCATCTACATGTAAATAAAAAATCAAATAAATAAATAAAAATAATGAATTAAACATAAATCAAGGGAAGTGAATTTTGTACGCGCAATATTTTTTTGAAGATCAAATAATCACTTAGAGCATCTCCAATGGAGCTCTCAAAACACTTGCCAAAACTATAATTTAGCAATAGTGATAAAAAGTGGGTCTCCAATGGCTTGCTATTTTACTTGCCAAAGATGTCATATGCCATATCTGTTTCCAAATTTGGCAAGTAAAATAGCAGTTGCCAAACATGCCACATCAGCAAATATGAACATATTTGTGGCTCCAAATTCAGTTGAAAAAACAGAATTGAAACAGTAGAAAACCAAGTAATTTTTCAAATTTAATTTTTCAAATTGAATTGTATATTTTTTTTCTTCTAATTTTTCAATTTTTTTTTCATTTTTTATATTTGTCTAGTGGGAATAATATAAATATATAATTTTTTTTACAAATAGTTAAAAAAAGGTCATAAAAGATAAAAAAAAAACAAAAATAAAATCACAAAAAAACCTATATCCAATCAACACTTACAAACTTGGAGGGAAAGTTGGTTGAGAATTACCAAAATAACAAGTGACCATTAGAGCACCATTGCTATAATTTGACAAAATAACACTATTCATTGTCAAATTATAGCAATAATAATGATATTATAGCAATAACCATTGAAAATGCTCTTAGAGAATTAATAGAACCGCCAAAATAAAACCCTAACCCTTTTTCTCCACCTTTTGTCGTCTCTCTCTTACACACACCTAGCCAATAGCACTCTTTTTTTTTTTTTTTTTTTTTCTTTGATTACTCTCTCTCTCTCTTCCCGTAGCTCACTTTGCTGCTGCACCCCCACAAACCCTCTCTTTCTTTCTTTCTTTTCTTATTAACTTTGCCTTGGTTTGGCATTCTTGCTTAGGGATGGCAATTAGAACCCGGCCCGACGGGGACCCGATCTCCCGATCCCGAATTGAGCGGTTATTCCCCAAAAAATACCCCCGACGGGCCAGGGATGGTATTAAAAATTGAATCCCCAATGATATTCGGGGCGGGGACAGGGATACATGTTTCAGCCCCAGACCCGACCTGACCCCGTCGCCGATCCCCGCCCCGGTTGCCCCCGATGTAAAATTACTATTTTGCCCCTTTTATATATAATATATGTGTGAGAGTGTGTAGGGTTTGAGCTATTGGCAGACGCAGAAACCCACACACAAACATCTTCTCCCTCTCTCTCTCTCTCACACACACGGTCGTTCCTCATCGCCTCTCCTTCACCATTTTGGTCGGCAGCGACTCCTCCCTTACCGCCGCTCCTCACCGCAGCTCCTCCTCTGGTGGAACTCCCTCACCGTCGCCCCTCACCGCAGCTCCTCACCGTTTTGGTCGGCAGTGGCTTCTTCTTCTCTCCCTCTCACGCTATCGTCTCTCTCTCATGGTATCTCCTCTTTTCTCTTTCTTTCTCTCTCTCTCTCTCTCTCCCTGGTTTGGTCGGCGACGGCTCTTCCCTCACTGTCGTTCCTCACCGCAGCTCCTCCTCTCTTTCTCTCTCTATTTTTTTTATTTTGTTATCTGTTTTTTGATTTTGTTTATCAGATTTGAAATGATGAAGATGAAGATGAACATGTTGATCTGTGTTAGATTTGTTGATGAATGTGTTAGATTTTTTGATCTGTTTGTTGATGAAGATCAAGAAAATGAAATCTGTTGTTGAAAATCTCTCTCTCTCTCTCTAATTTGTTGTTGATCTGTTGTAAAATAATGATATATTGTAAATGTGTTGATGAAGATCAAGAAAATGTTGATCTGTTGTTGATTTTTTTTTTTTTTTTCTAAAATTTTTTGGTCGGGGAATTTCGGGGTCAGGGAAATCCGATCCTTGTTAGGGGACGGGGACGGGGACAGGGATGGGGGCGGTTATGGGTTCCTCGTTGGGGATCAGGGCCGGGGATGGGGGTATTTCCACCATCGGGGATCGGAGACGGGGAGTGTGATCCTCGGCCCGCCCCGCTCTATTACCATTCCTATTCTTACTAGGCTATATAATCACAAAAGACAAAAAAAAAAAAATTACAAAATTATAAAAAGACAAAAAAGTTACAAAAGTACCAAACTACCCCATATACAAATAAAAAATAAAAAAAAAAGCATCATTCTATACTAAGGGCAATTTTATCATTCGAAAGCCAAAAAGTTAAAAAAGCCAAATAAGAATACCAAACGACTAAAAAAGTCCCAAATTAAAAAAGTCAAAAAGCCAATTAAAAAAGTCATTACCAAACGACCTTAAATCTAATTGACTTCTTATGCCCGTGCCTGAAGGCACGGCGTAAATAATGTTCGGTGTAAATAATGTTGGGATTAAAATGTAGTTATAATTTCTACGTATAATGTCAATTAATTAATTAATTTAAGGCATCCTCAACATTTAATTAATCATGGGGAACATGAATATATTAGAAACAGTGTATGCTGCGCCACCACACATAAGCCAATTTTGTTTGAATAATTGTAGGTATCATTAAAATTTAGGAAAAATTAACCAAAAAAAAAAAACTTAAAATTTAATACTTGTAACAAAATAAACTATCGAGTTTTTAATTTTATAAATTTAAATATTAAATTTCTGATTTATTTTCAATTTAAACTATTTGCATGTTTTCAATCTAAACAATCTGAAATCTTTTACGAATTATAAAAGATGTATCACCATTTATTATCGCATATAGCATCTCTATTGGAGGAGTTATTGGATAAGCAAAAGGGTATTCTGACATGGTGCTCACTGTTGCGCTTGGTTTACATGGAGGGTCTATTATATTTATGTTAGTGTTTGCCTATCAACATGAAGGAAGGGCATTTGGTGATTGGTTTAGAATACTACATGACAATACCACGTGGTACCCTTCTTGCATATAACAATTTTTCCTATTGGAGGGGAAAAATTTGGGTACAAATAGGTTATCACGTGGCATGGCCATGTGCTGTCCCACATCAATCACCAACTATTACTTTCCATATTGTTAAGCAAAACACCAACATAAATATGATAGACCCCACAATATAAATCAATCACATTCAAGACACCGTCTAACAACTTTTAGGGTACACATGATTCTTCCAACATATTGTTGTTTCTTTTTTTCTTTTTCTTTTTTCCTTCTAGAATGACAAAGCACTTTTGTCATGTGCCCAATCATGAAATTCTGTCATTAATCCTTCCAATGGTATTAGTTAAACTTTCAACAACTATTGGTGGACATCAACAATCTGCTTTCTAACAATAAGCGACCTAGGCATATGACCATGAACTTGATCCTGAAGAAGGTATCTAACAATACCCATGACCACGAAATGGAGGCTGGCCTAAGTAGATTGGGGTCAATGAGGGTGTGAGTGAGCATGCGACTTTAGAGTGGATAGATTCAGATCAAGAATGGAACATTTAAAAGACAAAATGGCTTAGAAAGTAGGAGGGTATTAAAAGATAGGTTAATCAGTATTATAAATGGCATCATACTTTTAGGACATTTATACCTTGATATGAACATCTAGAACAATGTACAACTGAATAATTCAGAAGCAAAAACTGATGTTATAATATGTGTAAAGACTTCAAAAAGGAATAAGTTGCTATCATTAAATTTCCAAACAATTGGAAGACATATCAAACACTGAACCTAAAGTTAATTATGATATTAAATAAATAGAAAGAACTTTTGATATAAACAAATTAATAAAAAGAAATAACCAAAGAAGGTCTCAGCCTTCCTTTCTTTTTTTCTTTTAATCGGGAAAAGGACATACCTTTATCTGTGCTAACAGGGAGACTTCCTAAAGAAGTTCTAGCAACAGTGGGTTCCTTCCTTTTACCCTTTCGGAGGCAAAACACAATCACAAGCATTGCAAAGAAGACCACCAACGAAGAACCTAGAGCTATGACTATAATCAGACCAGCTGCTAGTGCCTTTTTATTTCCATTGTCTGGATTGGACGATTGAGCACCAGATCCCTGTGGTGAATCTGGCCCTGGAGGAGAATGACTTCGATTATTATGTGGTCTACCTGGGGGAGGCGAGTTATATGGTGGTGAAGGAGGAGCAGGACCATTATCAAATGAATTTCCGTCATATCTGTTTATTTAAAATGCTAGATTAGACATATTGGAGAAGTCCTAAAATATAACACAAACAGGCATGATATTATATTGCATGCATCACTTACATAAATCTAGGGATAAAAATAAGCTCTTTTGGTATCCACCCGCTGAAATGGTTGTTTGCAACATTTCTATGGAAAATTCAAGGCATGAGAATAATAGGGCCGGTGAGAAATATAAAATTCAAGGCCTAGAGTTAGGAAATGAACTTACAAATCTGTCAAAGGTAAATTAGCCAGAACATTAAGAGAACAGTTAATTGGTTGTTCTGCACATGATTGCCAAAAATCAAGAAACCAGCAGAAGTTCAAAAAAACTGAACTGAACCCCAAAAATAAAATATCAACTATAAATTAGCACTTCATTACACTCACAGAGTAGAAATATTGGTCAATGCAATAAATGAACTGGGAAGATCACTGGTAAAGTTGTTGAAAGAGAGATCCCTACAATGCAATACATAAACATTAATTTAATTTAAAAAAAAAACTAAGGAGATATTTTGTTGGTAGTATATATCAGAAATTGGAACTGCTCTTCATAGAGTTTTGACCTTTTTGTCTTCTTTGGTGGTTATGTTTGACCTTATCATGATGTAGGCTATGGTTTTGTATAAATATGGTATCACATGGATCTAGACATAGAATGTCTTTTATGTGGGTATGTTTGGTGTGAGTTATTAATATAAGAAATGTTTTTGTTCATTCCATTTATGCACAAGCTCATTGGACAATTATTATCTTTTGCTTCCGCTTTTGGCCCCATATGGTTATTTGAAAATTGTTTTCTGTCTGAGGCCGTAGGTAATCTAATGATTACTGGCCGGTTATGATCCTAACCTATAGGGGCGGGTTCGGGTCATGACAACTACCTAATACACCTCTCGCACTGAACACCGAAAAGTGAAAGGCAGATCAAACGGTACAGCAATAATCCAGATCCAAGGGTTGTGTTCCCATCATGACAGATCTCGTGACCGGTCAACCTTTTGGCAAGCTTTTCAGGCAAGCCTCCGGCAAACCATCCAGGAATAGCAAATGGCAAACACAGTGACTTAAACGTACCAATGCAAATGCAATGCAAAGAAACATATAAGTGTAGATAAAATTTAATATAATGAGTTCGAGTCAAGTTCTCTAAATCCCCAGTGGAGTTACCAGAAACTGTAGCTCGACTTTTTCGTGCCCCCTTCAGAAGCTTGAATATAAGCTCTACAGTTCGAACTCCCGCGGTTCTAAATCTAATCTCACAAGTACAATGTGAAATTAATAAACACCAAAGAATCCAAATCCAGTAAATCTTTTGGAAAATCGATTTTGAATCAAACGGCCAAAAATGGACTGCTTTGCCAGATACAGAGTCGCCACCTAAATATTTTGAAAAATTTAGGAAACCCATGACTCGTGTCAAAGGCCACGTGTTCGTCATCATCAAGATTGTCTCAGCTCAGGAACTTAGGTACGAGAGAGGAAGGTCATGAATACTTTTGAGCACCCCCGCTCGCCCGATCAAAGATCGGCCTCTACTAATCATGATATGATTTTTATCAATATTATATGCTCTTGTTCCGATTTTTTAGGCTAGCATTACTATGTGATGCGCACACACACAAATATAGACCAACTTACAAGAATTGGAACACTTGATTCATGTATGTTTTTTTTTTTAAAAAAAAATCGTTTCAAAGTATGTGCCACTTAAAAAAGTGATCGCATATGAACATTACTCAAATTATTTCAATTCAAGCAATAAGCCTCCATCCACAGGCATACAAGCAGTTATAGCACTTAAGCACTTAGCCTCATGGCAAGCATGTTAGACATGGCAACAAACACACTTATGCAATATGCTAAAGCGAGTAAAGGCTCACCTAGTACTCCAAGCCAAAAAAGAGAAAAGAGTTAGAAAAATGTATGATCCCTAACTATGCAATATGACTAATGCAATACATGTGATATGCAACACTTATGCAATATGCTAAAGCGAGTAAAGGCTCACCTAGTACTCCAAGTCAAAAAAGAGAAAAGAGTTAGAAAAATGCATGATCCTTAACTATGCAATATGACTAATGCAATACATGTGATATGCAATCTAAATAGGCTCGGCTACTTAACATGGCATATGAAACAATTTGATAGCATGCGGTCTAAGCATGTATTCAAAGAATGTGTTAAACTGACGATGCAGTTAGAATGATGAACCGAGCATCGGTGCATGCAATACAAATGGATGCAAACATGGAGTACGCTAAACAAAACGTGATGTCCCTAAACTAACCATCATAAGCTAGCAAATAAAAGGGAGAAAGACGTGGGGTTAGAAAACATACACATTATTACATCATTTCTCCCTCATGAAGGAGAGTTTGAATGAATAAACTAAGCTAACTAGCTAACTAATTAGAGCTAAGCTAATTATTACAAACCAAAATGAATAACTAGCTAAACTAATCTAACTAATTAAATAATTACAACAACAAATAAATTAATTAACTATTCTAGTTAACTAATTAAATGATTACAACATAAGCGCAATTAATAATTAAACTAAACAATTAACTACTCCGCCTCGAGAAATAAGAGATGTTCATGCGCATGCACGGTTTCCTCTCGAAAACACCACTATTTTGCTTCTGAATGCCTCTGTTTGCATAATTAAACACCAACACTGTTGCTCTGCCTTACAAACTCACTGCTGAACTTTGCATCAATGGTCGGCTGGCCACTGGTAAAGACTGCTGGCCACCAGCCGGCCATGGATGGTGTTCTGTCGGCCACCTGCCGGCCATCGCTACACAGGTTCATCTTGCTACAACAGAGGACAAACAGAGCATATGAAGGGTATTTCCAAGATTTGTTTGCACAACTTACCCCTCCTTTTCATGAACAAATCAAAGGAGTGACAAGTTTGGTTCACAAACCATCAATGGATGCAATTTCATTGCATGATGGCTTGTGAAACCAAATGTGCAAACTCAATAAATGCAACAAAAGACACAAGCCTCCTCCCTTTCATGAAAGATCAAGGGGAGAAGTTGACCTTGGAGACTTGGATCGTTTCATCACTAGCAAGTATGAAATGTTCCAAGTTTCCATGTGTTCAATTAACGTTTGATTGAAGCAACCAAATTATTATCTTGCTCACTTTTAGTCCCAAGTTTTAGTTACTCATTTTAGATTACCAACCATCCTTTAATCCAAATAAGTCCAAAGGTGAATTAAAGTCCTCTAATGGAAAGAGGGCTCAAAACACATGTTGCTTTGGGCATGAAAGAAACATCATACCGTTGGTAATGAACCCCTTAAGGGATTAAACCATTAAGTATGAAACCTCAATTTCATACTTGGGCAAGCAAGTGGCTTGAAACCACTTTCAAAGCAAAATAAAAAGCCAAGAAAGAGGGAGGTTGCAGAGATCATTTGGTGCTGAAATGAAGTATGAAAAGCCCAAAACAAGTGCTATCAACTCAAATAAGTGATGTCTAAGACCTAAAACATCAAGTTTATGCCGACTATTACACTAGAAGCATGCAAAATAAAGCTCAAATGCAAATAACAGCCCAAAATAGTGCAACAATAAGTTAAAATATATCCTAAAACATGCTGGAATTGAGCTAAAATAAACTTGATTAAATGGCTAAAACATCGCATAAGCTAGGCTAGTAAGAAAGACACAAGAAGGAGAGACTGACCCCTACAAATTTGGACTTCAAAATATGATTTTGGCCACTAAAAAAGCTCTGAAAATCAGTGTTTAAAAGCTTGGAAAAAGATAGTAAAATGGTGGGAAACACAAGGGCAAAGGCCTCCAAAATAAGGTACAAAGAAAGGCTATCAACCCCTCAACCTTTAATGGCCTTAAATCTAAGCTTCAGTCCAAAAAACATAGAGTTTTGACAGGCCAAAACAATGAAAAAAACAATAAGAAAGAAAGTGGAGAAAGCAAGCAAATAAGTAGAACCTTATACCTCTTGAAGAGAAGAAGCAATTCCAAGCAACAAAACAAGCAAACGACACCCTCTAGAGCTCAAACCAAGCTCAAAAGTACCTCAGCTCAAAGGTTAAGAGATTTGGTTAAGGGTGTATAGGCAAAGGTTGAAGAATTGTAGGCTAAAGTGTAGAAATTTGCTAAAGAGAGAGAGGATTATAGAGAGAGAGGAAGATTTTTGAGTTCAAAATTTTTTAACCTTTAAAACAATATGAGAGGTCTTCTATATATAAAAAACCAAGCAATTCCCTCAAAAACATACAGCCTTACACGTAGGTGAAGATGCATGCATCTGTGCAAACAGCTGACACAGTTGGAATAAAATATCTGCAAAATACACAGGCGGTCGGCAGCCCAAAAGTGATGGCTGGCAGCCCAAAAGTGGTGGTTGGCAGGCCACCAGAGGTTGTAGGCTGGAAAAGCTAGGCTTGGTCCGAAGCTGGGACAACAAAGGTACAAGGTTTGAAAGGCTCAAAGTTGTGGCGTTCCGCTGAGGGCTTCGAGTACTGGACGAACATTTAGACTCATCATCGGGTGTGCATGCAAGGACGTCCAAGTCGTAAGGGCCGTCAAAAATGAAGTGTCTACATCTATGAGACTTGTTTAAGTTATGAATTGCCTCTCGTAATTTTAAAAATTACATTATGCCATTTCGAGTTTCTAATTGCATAACAAATAATCCATTTTATTAATAAATCATCAAGTTAATTAATAATTTTTAGTGATATCATAAATATATTTCTATTAACAATTCTGATAATTTTATTATTGTATAGAAGAGTGTTAATTTTTTTTTTGTTAACTCTATTAAATAATTTTTTTTGATAAAAAGATATTTATAATTTTTTAAATTATAGATAGTAATCTGTATTTTAAAGTAAATCTGAGAACTTAGGATTATATATGTAATTTACTTTATATAAAAAAAAATGGATAAATTACACTTACCTCTTCTGAGGTTTCTGACAATCATAAAGTTTTTCACTGTGGCTTCAATAATTACAAAATACTTTCCTTACTTTTGAAATTATTATTAAGATTTCTCCACTGTTAGTCTTCTGTTAGTTTATTTAATAGAATATGTTAATGGCATATATTATGAGTAAAAAATTTCAAGATTGCCTTTATATATTCAAATGGTAAATTTCACTCACCTCTCTTAATATTTTACAAAAAAAATTAACAAAAACCCATATATTATTTTAGTAATGTTGAACAAAATTATTTAATTCTATATAATATTAAAAAAAAATTCTAAACTATTAAGATATTATTAAAATA